TTTATTTATACTGGATAGCTCTATCAGTTCTAAACTGTTCTTCCTAGAGGTCCAGTAAGAATCATCTCTTATTGATCTAGTGTTACTACAGGAGGAAACCTAAACTAAACTAACTTTATTTATACTGGATAGCTCTATCAGTTCCAAACTGCTCTTCCTAGAGGTTCAGTAAGGATCATCTCTAGGGGTGCACCGGATTTGGAATTTTCAAATCCGGCCGGAACCGGATTTACCGGATTTGGGCAAAAATTCCGGCCGGAATTCCGGCCGGATTTGCCGGATTTGAGATAAACCGGTAATGGGTACAATTGGGGATAAATCAGTATTCAAAATGACGGTTTATGTTTTTTACTATTTTTAGTTAGTGTCAGTTTAGATTTTTGATTGTGTTTAAACCTTTTTTAAACATCTTTTTGTTAATAACTTAATATTTTATAATAATATAAATGTTTTTTAAACTTTAAAGCTACTAAATTGATGGTTTATCCCATTCTTGGTGAATTTTTTAAGGTGAAAACAGAAATTTAAATCCGGCCGGATTTTCTCTAAATCCGGCCGGAAGCCGGATGCAGTAAAATTCGTTAAATCCGGCCGGAATTCCGGCCGGATTTGAAATCCGGTGCACCCCTAATCATCTCTTATTGATCCAGTGTTACTACAGAAGGAAACCTAAACTAAACTAACTTTATTTATACTGGATAGCTCTACAGTATCAGTTCCAAACTGTTCTTCCTAGAGGTTCAGTAAAGATCATCTCTTATTGATCCAGTGTTACTACAGGAGGAAACCAAACTAAACTAACATTATTTATACTGGATAGCTCTACAGTATCAGTTCCAAACTGTTCTTCCTAGAGGTTCAGTAAAGATCATCTCTTATTGATCCAGTGTTACTACAGGAGGAAACCAAACTAAACTAACATTATTTATACTGGATAGCTCTACAGTATCAGTTCCAAACTGTTCTTCCTAGAGGTTCAGTAAAGATCATCTCTTATTGATCCAGTGTTACTACAGGAGGAAACCAAACTAAACTAACATTATTTATACTGGATAGCTCTACAGTATCAGTTCCAAACTGTTCTTCCTAGAGGTTCAGTAAAGATCATCTCTTATTGATCCAGTGTTACTACAGGAGGAAACCAAACTAAACTAACATTATTTATACTGGATAGCTCTACAGTATCAGTTCCAAACTGTTCTTCCTAGAGGTTCAGTAAAGATCATCTCTTATTGATCCAGTGTTACTACAGGAGGAAACCAAACTAAACTAACATTATTTATACTGGATAGCTCTACAGTATCAGTTCCAAACTGTTCTTCCTAGAGGTTCAGTAAAGATCATCTCTTATTGATCCAGTGTTACTACAGGAGGAAACCAAACTAAACTAACATTATTTATACTGGATAGCTCTACAGTATCAGTTCCAAACTGTTCTTCCTAGAGGTTCAGTAAAGATCATCTCTTATTGATCCAGTGTTACTACAGGAG